AATTCAATCAGATTCCCGAACAGAACATCGCAACGTCGGTGATTAGCAATGTGTCAACGGCACTTCCCAGAACCACAAAGCCCACTTTCCCGCTTTCTGGGTATCAACGGTAGATTCGTAGCATGTTTCAAATATCGTAATTGCCATTTACAATGGCCGCCATACAACTCTGAATATTTAAGTTTAATGTTGCATTTAAGTATATACATGCACTAATATATGGGGAGGTACTTAGTTAACTCAGGTACCGTATTGAACCCTTCAAAATACATAGATCCAATCTCTCGCAAGTTGGAACCTTACCTAACTTTCTATAACTAAACACACACACACACACACACACACACACACACACATATACGACAAGGTCCTAGTCCCATCTTATTTTCCCTTTAGTCGTTGGATTCATACGGAAGCACGGTCCTTTTTCTTCTTTCTAGAAGCTTGGTGTTATTGATTTGACAGATTGCCAATAATGATTTTTATCTCCAAATTGCGCAGAAGATATTGACGTCCACTTTGACCAGCTCCGGGACATATAAACGGTCCAGTCAAAGAAGACTCAGGGATGGCCAAGGAGCATGGGTGTGTTTCATATAGAAATTCGACTGGCATTCCCCAAAAGTCGCATTGGCAATACAACTTCGACCCCGGCTGTTTGCCTGGCAGATAGTCGACGATCATATCCATTCCTGGAGATCTTATAAGAGACGGTGTCTCTAGCGCAACCTTACCGCAGTACCCCCCTTGCACCCCCATCTGCATCTCAGCAACCGTGCAACTTTTGTCTCTGGCGCAGGATTCCATTACATACCTTACCCGACAAAATATCATAAGAGAGTAAACCCCATTATCAGTTACCCTGGCGCTTTAGAGAGGGGGTTCGTTCTCCTCAGGCCCGGTTCCGGCAAGTAATTGTATGAATGGCTGTTTTCTTTTTTGCTGCAACTAAGAAGGGGCAGACGAAGAGATCTTAAGACCTGGACGGATTGTGAATACCGGGCTTCCAGGGCCTAATCCAACGCTTGCCCACACGGCAGTAAAGTGGTATTCAAGGACCCGGTAGACTTGCCTCGTCTTGGCACCACGCTTACTACGAAGGGCCAGCCTAGAAGAATACCCTTCGAGAAAACTACATTTACGTACTCCCATGACCGCTTAAAAGCTGCACACCAAAAAGTGATAAAACTAGTACGGCTTCGTGTCGAATGAGCTAGCCAACGCACCCACGCTGCCGAAGCCGGCTGCTGAGGGGACAAAGGAGTAGCTAGAGATTAGTCGCCGACCAAAGTCGACGAGGGTGTCATTAGCAAATTTCCTGTGAGCCTTTCCCCAACACCAACGCACTAATATTTAGCTCAAGGATTCAATACATGCCATGCGGAGCCTTATTGCATGACACACTAGATAGCCCAGCCAGCCCAGCTATTCCGGCTATTTGAGGCTTCTAGTTTTTTTTTTTTTTTTTTTCTGTTTTTCTTCTTCATCATTTCGGATTCATCAACCGATACGAGTTGTCAGGCCAAAGATGTCGTCAACCCGATACCAAAAAGCACAGAGTAAACCTAGAATCAAAGGCGAACTTCAGTTAAGCCAATGCATCGTAAGGTAGTGGATGAATGAATACTTGTCCCAGCTCGGCCGACGACATATCGTCTACTATGGCTCGGACATAAAAATGGCAGATGAGGCTTGCAGCCAGATAGCACCCTCCAATGATATTGCTTTATATCAGATAGGACTCAAGCCAAGACAGCCTATTGCATTCGGGCTTACAAGGAAATGCAGTCGACGGAGACTTTTCCAGCGAGCAGCGAGCATAGACCATCGACAGTCAGCTCACCTAGCACATCCGGCCATCTCCCCGAGACATCCACGATGATAGGGCTGCTATGCATAGGCTATGAGTTTATGGGGAAATAATGTGGATGATTTAAAGTTTAAACATGGCCTCAACATCCCCGGACTTCGTGGCACCGCCATTGGTTGTGCAAGGCGTTCGTGTTGTTCCTCTTCGTTGTGACAACTTCGAGCTCTACGTGGCTGACTACGACTTATTTCCTCTGCAGTGAATATTGGCCGCAAATAGTCCGAAAGGTAACAAATAATTGTGACAGTTCTGTTCGTGAACATTGCCTTCCCCAACTAAGGGCTCAAGGTCACCCCGAACCATAGCTCTATCGCCCCTATCTTCTAGAAACACAAGCATGAACGGGAACATACCTTTTCCTTAACTAAATTCACAACGCACAAGTCCAGCCTTCCCTACGCGAAGGAGATATGAGCTATTGCTTACAGCAAACACCTCGTAGCGGTCCACTTCATACTATTCCATGTATATGTTAGCTTTGCACACATAAGAATCCATGCAGTTCTCTCAGCTGTCGGCGGTTCCGAAATCGTTGGGGCTATGCCTCATCTTCCCCTATTATGTAGCATTCGAGAGTTAAGCATTTGATCAATGTTACTGAAATAGGAGTATGTTGACAAAGTGAAGGGTAGAACTGTCCACTGCTTCAGAAAGATAGGTATGGACCGTAATTGGACGTACATGCATAGGTAATCTCCTGTCGCGCAACCCTGTATGGCAATAAGCAATCCTCAAGAAGAGCCTCCTTGGTAGCTCGTACTAACAGCTAGTTTTCGATTGTTTTAGCAGTTCCCCTAATCTTAATAAACTAGTCGACTTCACGAGTAAGGATCAACATCGTAACACGTCCAAAGTAGCCTAAGATAACACACGCTCTAAGCCTCTACTAAGAAGGTGATAATGAGCATATCATTCTAGGAATGGATAGCGCGATGTCTTTACTTCCTAAAAACTATCGTCACAAGCATTTCTTCTATTGCAGGATGTGGCAGTGTACCATCCATGCATATGGAAAACACACGAAAACTCATCTCTAACATCAATGGGTCCATTAAATCGAAACATTGATGAGCTAGGCACAGTTGCAACCATAGACATCGATGGTAGGATACAAGCAAAGCAACACACATATGTAGATGACCTAGCTTCTACGAAACATGCAGTGCCATTGGTAAATAAAACGTGGAGACTTAAAGACCTCGGAGATTTAATTATATTGCAGAGCGACGTAGTTATTAATATGTGTTATGCCTTCGTAGATTACCTCTATCCTCGCGCTTGACAAGGGGAAAGCTTCCCCTGAAGACACCATCATGTATATTTTCCAGACAACTCTATAGCATCTATCGTTACACCAGCCAATCAACGAGGATATAAGTCCATCATAAGGATACTTATAGTAAGACTCCATTAGTGTAACACACTACAAGACTTAGATTAGAGCTTTAAACATTATGGTAGGTAATAGTTATAATTGTCAGGACCCTCTAGTAAATGTGCTCTCAGCGTTAATATAGCATGTTGCCGCAACACAGATCACGAATATTAAAGAGCTTCTATCATAGGTTGACATACGCGCCCCAGGTCGCATTCTAGGAAACCAGACGTAACATTTCAAGATGCGAAGGCGAACCGCTTGTATTCAGAAATGTCAGTTATGATGATATAAATCGTGGCAGCCCTCCCCACCACCGGGCCGTCGTGTAGCACTGTCGCAGTAGCGAATACGAGCTTGGGAAGCATATAGGTGACGCTGTTAACCCTATGCTCTGGACATCTGGGTTAGGGCGACGACGAATCCGGGTCTATGATATTGCCCGCTGTCGGCTGAGACCTTGCGGCTAAATGTGTGCGACGTCGTACGATTCCCGATGTCCCGGTCCTACGGAGCCTGGCCGGTGCGTCACTTCAGCCCCAAAGGAAGGGTGCTTTGAATAAAGGATTTATGTCGGGGACTTTTGTGGTGTTTACGTAGGTCTCTGGAGACATGTTGTGTGTGCGTAGTTGTTCTAGGAGCAAGAGGCGGGAATGGATGTAATGTTGAATTCATCTTGGCTTCGTCATACTGGTGAAAGCGCTGCTCTACGCATAGCTCTTGGTAGCAATAGTGGTGCCTTTATTTGTTTTATAGATTCACATTGTATATATTCGGTATGATGAAGGACCCCCCTAACAGGTATATACTATTTACTTTACTAGCTGTAGTGAATATGGACCATTAGTCCCACTGCGAGGCATATAGCCCCTTTATTCTTACCTTAATGAGGACGATGACTTGACTCTAAGTCGTTGTATGGTGAGGTGACGTCGTATTCTTAACAAAGATGGCCGAGTATCTAAAGCACCAAGTGCAATCGGGTGAGCCGAGACACAATAACCAATGATATATTGTAGCTAACGGGCTCAATACTTTGGGCCAGCTTAGAATACGAATAAGAGTAGGCAAGATTTGTACGTAGCTGACTCATTTTTATAGACATCTAATGATGAATGAGCTCCTCTAACTATCTGAGCGGGAGGAACGGCATGCGTACTTCGTACCAATGCCAACTCCTTATACATTAGCGATAGCCCCTTTCTTCGTCCGTCCTAAAACAAGGGGGTAGAAACTCCAAGTTCCTATGATTGACTCCGTAATTTCTGGGCGAGACTCACTTGAGTCTCAATTAAGAAAAGGATATGCTTGGCATTAGATAAACCTACGCGGTAGCGCGCTTTTGAACCTCAAACTCATAGGAACTTAGATCGGTTGACTGGTTAGCTATTCTAGCCGCGGCACCTCGAGGCCGTAAAGGGGAGGTCCGGCGTCAACGACGTAACGAGCAAATCGGAGTAGAATATGAATATTGAGGGTCCAGCTATAGATATATGTGTTTAGGTATGCGCGCTGTAATATCTATAAAGGGCGAGACGTTTACCTTGTAAAAATTTCCCGTAAAAAGTTCATATGTTTAGAAGTATTTTAACTATAATATTTTCCCCCTCAGCTAAGTAAATAAATAACATTGAGACATCTATGTTGAGATAACGTACGTTCTAAGGATTTAAGATTTAATGTGGAAAGTTTTAGATTTAATTTCTATTAACTCATCTTCCATAGTGACATATATAGTTGAATCACCCTGGTCGTGACGGCTTCACGGCATAATCCCAAGCAAAAGTGTCCTGGAGATTGGTATATAAGATATCGTAAATGCCCAAATCCCTCGGTGGCACCGCGCAGCTTCGCGCCAACGATATACCTCCCATCAACATCACACACCACGTCTCCCACAGCGACCCGTCCATACCTCTCGTTAGCGTCTTCTCGCCGGCTACATGGCGCCGCCCGATGAACTCACTATTTGGCTCGCGGCATCACGCACCGCGTCCCCGCCCCTTGCTCCAGGTGTACTACACGGCTCCCGATGCTGGCGACCCCGCACGTCTGGAAGCGGCTGCCCGGACTTTAGAGACGAGCATTCTTGCTGAGCGCCATCAGGGCAGAGACCCCATCGAGTGTGATCGATTGGACGTGTATGGGATGCCGTTCCTGGAGCCGGAGGGAGAAGTGGTGGCTGCTTGCGTGGGGCACCAAAGACGGGAGATTGCTTCCCGGGTCGACGGTAAGGACTGGTATATCCAACGACATGACCTCGGGGGCTGTGGTTGGCGGAGGGCGTTGATTATCGCGAGGAAAGGACAAGAGGAGTGGGTGGTGGAGGATGGGGCGAGGCGAGAGGTTGGTCTAGGTGTAGTGTTCTTTGATGTGGTTAGTCGGGAGGGACGAGATATTAGGAGAGACGTCTGGGAGCGGAGGGCAGAAAGCGTGGAGGAGGAAGAAGTCTTGATTGGGGAACTCAAGGCGGAACTGAATTGGCAGCATAGTGCCTCGCAGCTCTCATCCCTCGAACTTAGTGGTGTCTGTTTCCTCTCGAGGGTTTAGTGCTTGTCTATCCCGACCCCATCGAATGCCGTGTTGCTCTTAGACTTGGCGTGGTATGAGAATGAGATGGGAATGTGGCATAGACTGTAATGTCCCTCTACCGTCTGCTATTCGAGAGATGACAAATGACACCTCAGAAGGAAGCTATGGAAGGACATCTAGATGTTGGGTAGTCCGAGGAGTATGACGCATTCTCATTGAATAGATTCTACCCTCACTTTGATAAGGGGATGGGAAGGGGTGAGAAGGATATTGACACTGAAAAATGGCGGGTTTCTAGATATATGATGAGAAAGCTTTATGGACATTGGCCTATATTACTATATGATTGATATTACTAATGCTCTAGACGTCGCGATTTCAATACCGGGATATATGTCTACCTATACTTCTAGATCTAACCTCTGATTTGATTATCGACAAGAGAAACGGGGTTATATACGGAACTAAGTATAACAACGGGAGTAAAAAGGCTGCTGTAGAGCTTTTATTTCCACGACGCGAGAGGGATTTGGCAAAGATGATGAAATATTTTGAACATGGTTGTTCGGAATTAACCTCTAGTTCTCCTCACCCTCTTGCTAGTTCGTACTGACTCTGTGGAGGTATTGCTTTCAACTTTCACTGCTTCGGTTACTACTTGGCGTCTTTTTCGGGTACGGGCTGGGGTTTTATCGGCCGTAGTGTCTCCAACTTCCTCAACCTTCACTTTGACATCAACAACTTCGACCTTGCCGGTTGCCTGCTCTGAGAATGACTTTAGGTTCGCGGTGAAAAGTACCGACTGGGCCCATCCCGCCTGAGGACCCCAGATCTTTCGAAAATGATCCCCGACGGAGTCGTACATTGCCTTGGAGAAGGTCTTCGTTTTGGCCTTGCCGAATTTGTAATCTCTCTGTGCAATTTGCCATACATGTGTATCCACGGGAACTGCTTCTCCCCAGCCCAAGCCCATCAGACAGACGCAGTCCGAGACTTTTGGGCCAACCCCTGGGAGAAGGAGAAGCTGCCCATGGGCATGCCTGTATGTGGTCACCTCTGCGGCTTTAGGTAGAGTCAATTTAGACCAGCCAGGATTTTCGGGGTTTATGAGGCTTTCAAGCCAACCCTCTGGTTTCTCCTCACAGATTAAACGGGCTGTTTCGGCAATGAACTTAGCCCTGTAACCAAACCCTAGTTCCCTGAGATGAGCATCTACTTTCTTTCCGCTAAGTGTCTGGGGTGTTGGAAAATCGTGAAAGGCCTCATCTCCAATGTGCCCAATTAGCGGGCCGTAGTGTATACAAAGTTTATGAACCTGTACAGTATTAGTATGGTTAATATCCTACCATGGAAGACAAAGACTGTAATGATATACCATCTGAGAAATACGTGAAATATTGTTGTTACTACTGCAAATGAATGCGATCAGCGCTTCCCATGGATCTTGGCTTAGAATCCTAATTCCCATAAACTTTGACGCTTTCTTCCGGAAGTTAGGATCGGACTTCGACCACTGGTCATACAGTGCCGTTGCTGTAGCATTTCGAATTAGTAGATGAACAATTGAGAGTTGTTAGTATTAGGGTTTACCCAATGGCCAGTTCCGTTACTGTATTATTGGAAATGGGAGACACTCATACGATCTTGGTGGTAGCAAGACATCAATAATCTTTAAATTTGAGATGCACTTACAGTCATGCTTTAAACTGAAATAGTGTCTAAGAAGAGCTTCAGTATCATCATAATTGATGGTATCGTGTTCATCTTTGGTGGATAATGGAGGCGTTAACACTGATGGAATAGCCGTTGATGAAACTACTTTGTAGTGAAGATGATGCTTATCCTGCTTTAACGAGAGCAGTCGTCCATAAAGGACGCAATTCCTGATGATATGTTAATACTAATTAACGCACTCGATTATGAGTTAACATACCATTCATCATCTATTTTACGCCATCGAAAAGATTGCCCACAACGAAGAGTTGTCTCGATGCAGAGGTCAGTTACATTTAGGGGGAGCTTCCGCCATTCTGATACCCGTATAGGAGCCATGTATTAGGGGAAATAGTTAGACGATATTATATGAGTTGTCTACCGAGTTTATAGGTGGGAATCATAGGCGGGATTCATAGGCGGGAATTGTATATATTGCAACTCTTAAAATGTTCACTAAAACAGGTACCTAACATTGAAAGTTGTCTAATGCAAGTTATTAGTTATTGTAGGGGCTTCAGCGTTTCGCCTCCTGATTTTGCCCTTCATCTTTATCAAAAGATCCCTAAAAAGGAAAGCGGGGCCTATTAACTGCTAAATCTAGGTTCGCTAACCCTAATATGGACTAGTCACAAGTACTGCGCTCCACTCTGGGCCAGCCAAAATTTCTATTTTCCAGCCGCGCTGCAGCTCCACTGTCAACAGCTTCATCCTACCGCCATGCAATTGCAGCTTCACATTTCTTTTCAATTCCCCTGCCTTGTTTTATCGCCCTTTTCATTCCCAATTAACAAATATTCATCTCCTACTTATCTCAAACTGCATACACACATAGGAGATTAAGTCGATACTATGAACGGCGACAGCTATTCTTCTCGAGGTATGGAGTGACTATCTCCATTTTCTATTGTTACGATTGAAGGGGAGCTGACAGAATCATTAAATTTAGACGCCCGTCATGGCTCGTCTCGGGATTATCCTCGCGATGACCGCCGAGACCGAGGTGATCGACGAGACCGAAGACGAAGTAGATCACCTCGTCGGTCGCATCGTGATGCTAGGGACGAGGATGCTTATGCTTCCAGTCGAAGCCATCGAGACCGTGAGCGCGAAGATCGATACGGAGGCGGCCGAGATCGTAGAGACCGAGAATGGGATCGCGACCGGGGCTCGAGGAGAGACAGTCGTCGCGAGGAGGTTGCACGACCACCTCGACGCGACCGCGACTTGTTCGAAGAGAGGCGTGGTGGTGGTGGTGCCGCTGCCGCTGCCGCTGCCGGTGGCGATAGACGGGATCGCGAAAGGATTGACCGGATGCGAGATGAAGATCTCTTCGCGCAGAATCGACGAGGGCGTAGTCCAACACCGCCACCTAAGAAGCGGGAGCCGACACCAGATCTGACCGACATTGTTCCCGTTCTAGAGCGCAAGCGACGTATGACACAATGGGACATCAAACCCCCCGGCTACGAGAATGTTACTGCTGAACAAGCTAAGCTATCCGGAATGTTCCCTCTCCCTGGGGCGCCCAGACAACAACCCATGGATCCTACGAAGCTACAGGCTTTTATGAACCAACCGGGTGGAACAGTGAACAGCGCGGCATTGAAACCAGGCAATTCTCGACAGAGCAAGAGACTTATCGCGTACAATATTCCTCCAGGTTCGACCGAGGAGAGTATCATGGGCTTCTTTAACCTTCAGTTAAACGGCCTCAATGTTGTCGAGAGCACAGATCCCTGTGTTCTATGCCAAATCTCCAAGGATCAGTCATTCGCCCTTCTTGAATTTAGACACGCTTCTGAAGCTACTGTTGCTCTTGCTCTCGATGGTATCTCGATGGAGCCCGATGATGCTACGAACGGTTCGGCTAATGGGAGCGGACATGGCTTAAAAATACAACGGCCAAAGGACTACATTGTGCCTGCCGTTGCCGAAGAGACCCCGTATAAACTTGGTGTCGTTTCTAACGTCGTCATTGATACCCCCAACAAGATTAGCATTACAAATTTGCCCTCTTATCTCAACGAAGAACAAGTTATGGAGCTTCTGACCTCATTTGGCGAACTTAAAGCGTTGGCCTTGGTTAAGGATACAGGAACCGAAGAATCTCGCGTAAGTCATGCACGAAGTACCAAATTATTTAGGCTTTTAAAAACTAACATTTAGTAGGGCATCGCATTCTGCGAATTCGTGGATCCTGCTGCGACGGATATTGCGATCCAGGGTCTAAATAATATGCTCATTGGCGACAAGAACCTCAAAGTGCGAAAAGCTAGCATAGGAATCACCCAAGTAGCTGGTGTTGAGATGGGTGTCAACGCTATGTCTATGCTCGCAGGCACCACTGCCAACGACTCAGAGGAGACTCGGGTGCTGCAGTTACTCAACATGGTGACGCCAGAGGAATTAATGGACAACGACGATTATCAAGGTAAATGCCCTGCTCCATTTTGTATATCTGAGCGCGCTAATTTTAAATAGAAATATGCGAGGATGTCCAAGAGGAATGCTCTAAATTTGGTCATGTACTGGATATCAAAGTACCGCGACCTACTGGTGGCAGTCGACAATCTGCGGGAGTTGGGAAGATTTATGTTAAATATGATACGACCGAGTCAGCGAAGAACGCTCTGCGAGCCCTTGCAGGCCGAAAATTTGCTGACCGTACAGTCGTAACGACGTATTTCCCAGAGGTAAGCGCCCCCCTTTCCCTCAAGACAATTGGTCAGCTCTAACTTGTGATATATAGGAGAATTTTGAAGTAGGAGCATGGTAATGACGGAAAAGGGGCTTGTGCTACCTTTTTACTCTTAGGTGTAGTAACTCGATATATCGAGAATACGACCCACGGGTAGGTCGATTTGAGGTATCGCAGAAATCTATAGGTTGCGAACTGTACAACAACAGACGTGCGCGAAGGGAATAGTGCACTAATAAGGTGAATTTACAGCACTATCGGACTTAAGGCCGATACACGTGTTCATCATTCATTAGAACGATAACAATAATAATCGTTACGATCCATGGACTGAAATGTGAACCTATAGACTAGCCACTACATATGCCTACCTAGGTAACCTAGGTTAGTATTACCTAGGTTAGTAGGTTTCGTTCTCGAGTAGAAGTGGGTAGATGTGATTAGGGCGGATCATTCGCTAGCTATTTTAAATCCCGCCATCTTTCAGTTTTCAGTATATGGCGATGACTTACTTGTAGACTATAGACTAACTATGCTCAGTATTGTCATAAGGTTCGTGCTAGCTTGGTTTTAACGAGTCATCCACTCGGAATGTGCTTTATTTATTATATTCCATAAATCTCTACTGGTTTCGATTAATACCTACGAAGTGATCTGGAGATCTGAACAGAAGCTCTCTGACCAATAAAGCTGTAAGCCAAGGTTTTGCCGAATATCGATGTTTTCTTCAATGGAACGTTAGCGTAGAATGATTGCATTTTTACGTAACCTTTACGGCTTGAACCAAGGTATCGCAGGTATTCGCAGGTATGCTTCTGAACAGTTGCATGTAGGTAGAGCGCTGTATAAAAGCACCTACCCCTAAACCCTAATTGCTCAAGCCGTTTGCCTTCTAGGTTTTAAATCTTTAGCGAAGCAACCACTTATTGAAGCTACGCTAAATCGTCATGGCTAAACAATCTATGTCAGAATATCTGCTTTCGAGTCCTGAGATAAGCGATCTCTATGAACGAGCTACGCAAACGCAGTTCCTCAGCCTTGCTGGTCAGGGCCAGCTTCCCCCAGACGTGCTCTGCCAGTGGTTATCTCAAGATCGGCTCTATGCCCAGGCGTATATCCGTTTTGCGGGAGGGCTGATATCCCGCATTCTGCTACCGACCCAGGTAGATGGGCAGGATACCTCAAAGACGCTGCAATGGCGAATCCTGTCATTACTGCAGACTGCAATGTCGGGAGTCACGAGGGAACTAAAGTTTTTCGAAGAGGCTGCTAAGAAGTACGGGCTGGACCTCGAAGCTCTCGGACCTGTGGCGGGAGGAAGTAACCTGTTACATAAATCGGCTTTATTCGGACCTAATAAAGTGACGAAGAACTACATCGACATGTTCAACTCATTCTCTGCGAGACCTAACGGAGATTTGTCCAAGACTCTCTTAGATGGGCTGGTGGTACTCTGGACTACGGAGAAGGTGTATCTGGACTCCTGGACCTATGCAAAGCAGCAGGCTTCGGAGAATGCAGATACAAAGGGGGATCTTGACGGCGGGGCCTTAAGAAAGGAGTTTATCCCTAACTGGACCTCTGAGGAGTTCCAAGCTTTTGTGAAGGAGTGTCAGGAGTGCCTGGATGCTTATGCTACTAGTCAGGATGAGGATACGGAAGAAGTCATCGCGGCAAGCTCCATGGTAATCTTCAAGAAAGTCCTGGTGCTGGAAGAGTCGTTCTGGCCGATGGTGGCTTGAAGACTATGCTGTCGAGGGTGTTTGAGTTGGGGAGGTGAAGTTATCTAGAACGAGACTGTTACCTAAACTTGTATATTCACGTGTGGCTGATGTAGTTATTGCCCTAGGGCCTAGAGATACCTGTTATATTAGAAGACTGGATCAACGTTGCTTGTCTTCATTTAAATGATACAAAAGTTGACTGAGTTGAAATAGTTGTCTGCTGTAGTTGCTGTAGTTGCTGTCTCTAATGACTCGTTAGTGCGTGTATTATTAGAACGAAGAATGGGCAAACCTCAGGTAACTAGTTGAAATATAGCATACCATAGTTGGACAAACATGATATTCTATATTGATCGGTTCAATGTTAGGTAATTCTGATGCTGAATGGGCTGATGGGGTACCAGGGTAGGTACTTATTATAGTGGACCTCCACCGTTCGCTTAATTCAATTACCGAGATATAACCCCATATTTTATCGTTGTCAGAGCAACGATGGCAATTAACCTGGCAATTAACCTAGCAATCAAAACAGTCAACAAGCGATAAGGAATAACTCTAATTGATCTATTTATTTATTCGACTGATTACTCCACACCATTGTCTTCGCGGGTTGATCTTCTCAATTTTGTACAACATCGAATAATACTAACGACACAGGTTCTTTCAACCGAGGCTCGCCATTATCGCCATTATCGCCATTTTCTAATCCCACCACCAAAATGGCTGCCGGCGATCTCATCGACTTTGATATAATCGAGGGGCAGAAGGAAAATATTCAATCCTTGCCCGGGGGACGGTCGGCAAAGAAGCTTGTTGAAGCCTTTTCGCCTTCCCCTTTACAGCCTTTACACAAACTTTCGACACCCACACCGTCGGATACTAAGAACATCAACGATTGCATCAGGGCCGAGTACGAGGCCGAGATCGCAAACATTTCCGAGTCAGACGACCCTCTCGACGTCTTCGACCGATATGTTCGCTGGACCTTTGACGCATATCCATCAGCGCAAGCCACGCCCCAATCACAACTACACACTCTATTAGAACGCGCCACCAAAACTTTCATCGGATCAGCCCAGTACAAGAATGATCCGAGGTATCTAAAGCTGTGGCTTCAATATATCAGATTCTTCTCCGACTCTCCTAGGGAAACTTATGTCTTCCTATCACGCCATAGCATTGGCGAAGGACTAGCCTTGTTCTACGAGGAGTACGCTGCCTGGTTGGAGAGCGCAGAGCGCTGGGCGCAAGCCGAGGAAGTATATAAGTTGGGTATTGAGCGAGATGCGAGGCCAGTGCAGAGATTGGTTCGCAAATTTGGCGAATTTGAGCAGAGACGAGCACAGCAACCCGACGCGGGAAATACCCCGTCATCGCCAGCAATACCTACAGTCCGACCTGCACTAGTAGCCAAGATCGACCCCTTCGCTGCTCCGACACGGCCAGCCGACCCTCAAGCTCCGAGACCAAACATGGGTGTCGGCGGTCAATCTTCAAAGCCTGCAAAGGCTAAGCTCACAATATTCTCAGATGCTGATGCTGAGCCTAGCGCAATGTCAAAGATGGGAGAGGGCTCCAAGGGGTGGGATACAATAGGATCATTAGGGGACCGTAAGAAGGAAAATATGGTGGAGGCTAAGCCTTGGGCGGGAGAAACGTTGACGACGCAGGTGAAGAAGAGCAATGGTCCGAAGATGGCTATATTTCGGGATCCTGTAAGTTAAAACTTCCATCCCTATGCGGCAATGCCCATTTGTTGATGGAAACAGGACTAATTTGTGGCGATTGCGCGATTGTATATATTTAGTCTTTGTCTAGAATAGCAGACTCTCATATTGTCATTGCCCCGTCTAAGCATCAAGTAATCGTGAACCCTCAAAGCGGGAAAAGAGAGCGTGTCTTTGTTAACCTAGATGCTGTTTATCCAACTCCGGAGGAGCCCGGAACCGAACTTTCTTTCGAAGAACTTTGGGCTGCGAACCAAGGTTGGCTCGATGTGTCCTGGGAGGACGACAGCTTCGCAGACGAACTACAAGAGCCGACTCTTGGGCAAGGCTCGGAAGTAGATATGCTCAGTAATCAGGTCGCAGAGAAATTAGTAGTTCACCAAGATGTGGTAGAGCTTGACGAGAACGGGGCAATCAAGGAAAGCTCACGGCCTGCAAAAAGCAAAAAGAAGAAAGTGATGGAGTATAACGAGACCCAAATCAGTCAGTTCATCCCGCCGCACCTACCCAAGAATCTCTCTCTACTCTATTCTATCAATCAAATAACAATATCGCTAATTCTTTCGCAGTCAAAGCAAAACTGGACTCACCTTCTGGGCCAAAAATTAAGAAGAAGAAGAACAACGCTGCAAATTCCGAGCCTACCATGACGATGCACACCAGAGCGGCAACTGATGATATTTATGACATCTTCAACGCTCCTCTCAAGCCTGCTCAAGAGGAGGAAGCAGAAGAGAGCGAAGAGGAAGAGTACATGACAGACGACGATTATACTAGCGGTGGAGAGAGCGTTAATACTACTAGACGAATTTCGACTAGTGAGGCTGGTGACGACGATGAGATACCTGATGACAAGAGCGTGAGCGAATGGTCCGAGTTCACGGTGCAGAAGCACGTCCCGAAATTAGACGGCAGGAGCGATAACGAGGAGGAGGAGGACGACGAAGGAGAGCAAAGCGATTCAGAGATGTCGGACCTTATTGACACCAAAGATCCCCGAGAGGACGGTACTGGCACACCAGAGGACTCTCCTCCAAGGACAAGATTCATTCCTATACCACCTGAAGATTACGAGGCACCTACGCGGCCGTATAGGGATCCGGCCGAGGTGGCTAACAACCGTCTCCCGTTCATGACACCTATCACGGAACGCACAGAATCTTCTCTTGGTGTAGTTACGGGAGCAAAACCGCGTTATGACGGTACGAAGACTCCTAACGGCCATATCGACCTACCGGAGGAAGATGAAGATGAGGAAGAGGAAGAGGAAGACGACGAAGACTTCGAGCCGCTGAGTAGTCCTCTACGGGAAGTTCTTAGTGAGCGTCGATCTCCCCCTAAGATCGCACAACCTCTTCTTAAAAAGCTCAAGACAACGGCAACTACAACTACAACTACAACCCCCCCTAGCCAAGGGAAGGCAAAGGAGGTGCAGAAGGGACCAATTATTAAGGAACCCATGTGCAACCCTGTTGATACGGCTATTCGAGAGGAAATTCTTACACATATGCGCCCATCGCTGAGCTCGTATTCTGGATTCTATGATCATCGGACCGAGCGATGCGATAAGGGTGCCGAAATCCGCAAATTCGTCAAAGCCGTAGCAAAGTCGGGAGGCAAGAAAGATAGCGAAAAGACCAGTACTATTCACACCCCGGTTGTCCTCGAGTTTCCCGAAATCATGGGCGAGTACACTGTGAAGCGGGAGTTAGGCGCTGGCGCATTCGCACCTGTCTATCTCGTCGAGAACTCATCGCCGGAAGATGACGAAAACGACGAAAACGCTCCCGTCGCCATGGGTAAAGGCGTTTTTGCTACGTCCCGCCGCGCTACCCTTGAAGCTCTGAAGATGGAGCACCCGCCTACGGCTTGGGAATTCCACATGATGCGGCTCTCAGCTTCACGCTTAGGCCCGCACCACCGCGCTACAGCCTCCATCTCAGCCGCGCACGAACTTCACCTATACCAAGACGAGGGCTTCTTATTCTTACCGTTCCATCAACACGGCACACTCCTCGACGTAGTCAACTTCTTCTGCGAGGCATCCAAAGGCCCTATGGACGAGCCCCTCGCCATGTTCTTTAGCATCGAGCTCCTCCGCACCGTCGAAGCTTTGCACTCCAAGCAAATCATGCACGGCGACCTCAAGCCCGACAACTGCCTGCTCCGCCTCGACGACACCGCCCCGCCGACGGGACCCTGGCGAGCAGACGGGTCCGCCGGCTGGGACGCGCGCGGCGTGGTGCTGATTGATTTCGGGCGCGGCATCGACATGCGCGCATTCGAGCCGGACGTGCAATTCGTCGCGGACTGGCGCGCGGACCAGCACGACTGCGCCGAGGTACGCGAGGGCCGCCCGTGGACCTGGCAGCTAGACTACCACGGGCTGGCGGGGACGATGCACACGTTGTTATTCGGGAAATACATCGAGACGGCGCGCGCGGACTCGGGCGAGCGCGAGCGCGGGCTATGCACGGCCGCGGCGCGCAGGTACAAGGTCCGCGAACCGCTCAAGAGGTACTGGCAGACGGACATCTGGGCCGAGTGCTTCGACCTGCTGCTTAACCCCGGCGCGCACGTCGAGGCGGAGGAGGCGTGTCGCATGCCGGTTACGAGGGGCTTGAGGAGGGTGAGGGAGCGCATGGAGAGGTGGCTGGAGATGAACTGCGAGAAGGGCGTTGGGCTGAGGGGGTTGATGGCTAGGGTGGAGGCTATGGCGAGGAGTCGGAGACACTGATTTCGTTCTCGGTCACTCGTGTTTTTATGCTTGAGCTTGGTTGGGGATTTTTATTTTTTTCTTCTTTTATTTTTATTTTTTTACGTATTAGAAGGGATGAAGGATGAAACACGGAGGACGGAGGATGGAGGATGGAGCGACGATGAGTATTACTAACGCTTGCACGACGACTTTGCATCATCACCAGGGCGTTACTGGATAGAATTCCGTTTCCGTTTCCGTTTCCGTTTCCGGAGCGCGGATGGAAGGGCGGGCGGCTATATTCCCACTTTATGATATTTGGTTGGGATCGGAGCGTATGAGACTTGACTTTATACGATATAAAATGGTGGCGGATAGAATTGGTTCGGTTCTTATTGAACTAAACCGCCTACCTAGGTACTCTCATACCACCGCGTTGCGTGCGCGTAGAATTACTTGTTTTACATACGAAGTACATGCTTATGCTTACATACCCAATACGCCTTGCAATTTTCCAGATCAATAAATACAAATAATGTCCTTTACAAAGAGTGTTCAGACCCTAAACCTAGTATAATCGAGACAAACCACTTGGTGCTTTATTCAGAATCCTCATCCTCATCCTCAGCCGCGGCTTTCTTCCTGCCTCGCTTCTTCGGAGCGGCCTTCTTCGCATCCTTGACGCTCTTGCGATCGACCTGATCCTGGATCTTGCTACGCTCGCCAGCGCCCTCGGCTTGGAGCCGGTTGTCGAGAGCCTTGAACTCGTCGCTCTCGGGGTCCATGTCGATGAGGCTTTCGAGCAGCTTGATCTCGTCGGCCCAGATCTGCTTGTCCTCGACGGACTTGCCGTCGGGGCCCTTGCGGTCGATAGGGGTCTCGAGGATCATGGGCATGCCTTGGAAGGCGTCGTGGTTCATGACGTTGTGGAAGGCGCGCAGGC